GTTTACGTAATGGTGTACATTTATATTTATGATGAGTATTAGAAACGTCATTTACCCAGTTACTTTGATTTGGTCCCAACTGGCCTATATAGCGTATCTAAACTGCCTAAACAGTTACTATTTAGTCCAAACGTCTGTATGGATTTTACGTCCAGTCTTTTGATCTCGAGGTTAAGCATCTACGAAGTCCTTCATTCTATTTAAAAATACCCTGTTGAAAACTTTTACCGGCACTTTAAGAAGAGTGATACCTCTGTAGTTCTCAAACTTCTTTGTTTTGCAGCTCTTGATTTGTCTGATGGCCATGCTGATCTCTTCAATTGATGGTTGGTCAACACTGCTTGAGGGGACCGTGGATGCTATGTCGATGTTGGGTGGGTTCAGTAAGGCTGGTTGATTCAAGAGTTCTTAAAGTCTTCTGCCCACCTGTCTCACTGTTCTTCACTGTCGCTGATCGCTTTGCCTTCCAGGCTTTTCACTGGTCTTCCTGGTTTACAGCAGTTTTCGGCGAGGTTCTTTGTCATATCGTACAATTGTCTCAAGTTTCATTCTCTTCGAGCCTTTTCCACCGTCACTGCTAGATCTCCCATATATTTACATTTGTCAGCTCTGATGCTCCTCTTCACTTGCTTGTTTTCTTCTGTGTATTCTGCTTGTGCCTAGACTCTCTCTGATCTTGTTTGGATGATGTTGATTGCTGCCTTCATGTTCCTCCTTTCTTCAATTTTTTCAAGAGTACAAACTGAGATCCATTCCCTGTGATGGTACGTGTTGTGGCCCACAACTTCCTGACATGTTGGAGTGTTGCGTCCTTGATCTCTTCCTAATTTTTCTCCGCGATAGTTCCCTCTCCATCAAGTTTAATTTAAAGAGTACTTATTTTCAGCTCTGTGTGACATCTGTTCAAGTAGTTATGCATGAATCAGCACGCAAAAGTAACACCATGAACGGATGTGAAAATATGATGAATTAAACCTGACTCTCATTCGTAATTTCTACATGCGGTGAAGCAACTCACATCATTAAAAAAAGTAGAAAACATGACAGGGCAGTAAACTTTGACCTGAAAACTTAAAGTAGATGGAATTTAAATTTTGAAAGCAATTTTTTTATTTGCATCGTCAAGTTTACTGATATATCACAAAATTTCACATGATTCACAGATTTGTTGTGTAGAATTTGTAGTCAAATCTAGTATCCGTTCTTCCACTGAACCATTTAGCCATTGAGTCCATCCTTAAGCCCTTAATATGATATTGTTTTTAGGGCGTAAAACAGAAGGCCAACCGTGGTCAGTACGAGCGCTTGCCAGGATATCGAAAGGCATCTAGGAAAAAACCAGTATAGTGGTTCATGTAGTGCCTGAGCTGGTTGGTGGTAGCTTTGATGAACCTCACGCACATAATGTGCAAAATTGGGAGTGTTTATCAAGTAGCATAGGCCTTCAAACACGATGGCCTCTAGCGTCTCGCGACTGTCTCGTCCGACATACCTCAGGACAATTAAGTCTCCACACGTGATGTCTATAAACTTCAGAACTCGACAAGACCTAACTGTTGCGCCTCAAGCATGAAGAACAATCTGTCTGGTCACACTAGATGTTGCGAGAGTCGGCCCAGATCTTCGACACAACAATAACGAGGCCGAAATTAACACAAACAAATGTATGTCGACCTCGATCGACAACCCACGGCACTGACTGAATAAACTATACACACGAAAAACCTGTAGCGTCCAGTCTTTACAGAACAGGAACAACTTGTTTAGAATTCCGACAACGAATTTTGTTGCAGAAGTGCACTAGGTGACAAAACAAACCATCAAGTGCTTCTGTAGTAACGTTAGAGGACTGAGGTGGCAAGCTGGAAGAGATCAGTAGTATCTGCTCTCATATTGATCTGCAGATCGTTATCTTAACTGAAACATAGCTACCTCCCGACATCGCATGCGATGACGTGGGCTTGCGAGGCATGACACTTCCTATGCGGTCGGGTGCACAAGACAGACGGAATGGCCATATATATTAACAGCCACTTCAAAGCCATAACACTTCACAGCACCCAACTAACGGACGTGCCGGAATCACACTGGTGTTGCCTCAACACGAATGACACAAAACACCTGATTGGAGGAATTTACCGGCCTTCAAAAAGTACTAAGGCCCAGAAAGGTTAGTCAACTCGGGCAATACTGCAACTAGCACTCCTTGGGATTAGTCAAATACTATTAGCCGAAGATTTCAACGGCCCATCCCTGAAACCTCAGCATATGAGTATGGTGCGCGCCACTTTTAAGTAGTATATGACGCGAGTGTAAACGTAATGTCTGGCAGCAGAAGATGGGGGAAGATCAAGAAAGAAAGAGTGGGAACACAATGGAATTTGTATGAAACGCATGAATAGTGAAATGTCAGACAATGGATTGATGATGGATTGAAGATTTGCAAATTAACGGTTACGATATGGTTTTCCTATTATTGTGAGTAACTCTGTAATTTTCGTTAAGTACAATTCGGTTGCCCTCACCTGTGTTCTCCTTCACTACATAGGGAGCAATCCTCACAGGTTGGATCCATTAACATCTGCGGATTGAATGAGCGCGCTTGGAAAGCCACAACATGGAATATGGATAGAGGAGCCCCAAACTTGGATTATTTCTGAAAAAACGACCAGCTCCTGTCCAGGATGTCCATCTTCGTATACAAATAGGAAGTAGTAACCATGAAGTAGTTATGTTTTACATGGTGACGGACAAAGTATTAAGGTAGGATGAAAACGGGCCTTACCTATGCTACACTGGGGCAAGTGACACGACCAGGAAAAAGCATCTTCTACACTCCCCACGGACACTGGAATGTTGGAGACTAACAGCAGATAATCACTACCAAATGGTGAGAGAACTTATCTGGAATACTGTCCTACAGAAAGTACCTCAGGAGTATCATACATCTGAAGAGCGAAGAACATGGGTTAGGCGAGGCACTGCTACAAGAGAAAAGAAAAGCCTGGCACAAGTGGAAGATCTCTCTGAAGGATTCCTACCGAAGTCCTTACCTAGCTTTCAGAAAAATGTAATGCCGAGGTTTGAAGTTATAGGAGACTTTCAGATGAAGACAGCCGCCAAAATACAAGCTAACTCAAATATCTGTTTAGATTCATGACAGAAAGAAAACACATGAACCAGGACGTTTGTGCCTTGAGACTGTCAGACAGTGTGCAGAAGCCCTCCAGCTGAATGGAGACGAGATACTCTCTTCGATCTTCTAAGTATGAGATAGGAAAGTTCCAGACCCGTCCTTACTTGAAATGCTGTTCCAGCCGAGGTAACTACAGGCCCTTCAAGAGAAGACTCGATAAACATGCACTCCAGGAACCGGAAGCTTGATCAGTAAACGTAGATATTTTTTCTGCCGAAGTTAATCAAGTTCACGGAAATGCATGTAGATCTATTTGGTGATATCCTTTTATTTTCGGGAATATAAAACGGTTTAAAAATAAACCAGCCGAAATGTCACGTCATGTATATTCTGCTCCATATGACGGAAGCGATTTACATCCTCATTGTCTCAGAGAACCATCTCGATTTAATAACCTCTGAGTTACTAGAGAATCAGAGGTGATCTGATAATGGCGTACAACATATTAAGCACTCCAAACCATACCAACGTGAGCACCTTACCGATGAATCACCACCACTCCCCTCGAGGTAATCTTGGAAAAATTGCTCACCACAGAGCGAAAATCGATTTTCGTGCACGATTTTTCTCACTAAGACTCGTAGCAACTTCTAATGCTCTCACAGCCCCTCAGAGGAAAGTTTTAAGAAGAGGAGACTTGAGAAACACGTACTCACATACGGATTATCATCGCCCTCATGGACAAGCTGTACCTGATGCATGTCTTGAGACATGTTAGTCATCTACTCATATCACCAACTTAATTTATCTCGCTTATTATCTCTGTTTCCCTCCCCCCGTTTACCTTTCTGTCCTCTCGAACAATCTTCACTACCAATTAATAAACTAAATTATCCACTTATTTACTCTTTTCTGAAATTTTCTTATTAGGATTATAATTTTCCCCTTATTATTTTCCACATTGAGACTAACTGATCTTTCGTATGGTAATGTGATAGCTGCTGTTATCCAAAGACCCTACTACCCTGAAACAACCGTATTCATTCGAATCACGGGACATACAAACAATCTGCTGCCGACTGACTACAAGTGGGCAGTCAAGTGGCTACACTCCCATCCATCGGAAAATACCAAACACCCTGAACTGTACCGAAAGAGCAAGAATCGATTGCAAAGAAATCAATTGGTCTATACTAGCTCGTGAAAAAGATAATGAATACATTGGATAATACGATCTTCAATGAAGCGGATATGAGAGTAGATTTCCAATAGAAATTCAATCATAAAAATACTCAATGTTTACACTGAACGAGAAGGAAACTCGCTTGAAATGATTCTCAACAAGTATTAAGGTTTTCAGATTCGAGAAGTCTACTTAAGCGTCCCAAAACTACGTTGTACACTGTCCACGAATACAAATACGTCTGACAAAATTTTTTTTAAGAAATGGCCCAAACTCGTTCATTTTTCATGCCGATATGACATATTTATTGTGTGTATACTGTACAAAGAATTTGTCACCTAAGTCATGTGACCTTAGGTACTTCATTCGGGCGGGTTTCAAAATTATCCCAACTGATTATTTGTCGCAACAACGCGATATCGTTGGATATTCGTTTTATATCACTCATCACGGCATTACTTGAAGGATGGAGGTTATCAGACTTGCGTAGCAGAACTGAAACCAAATTTTCTAAAGTCTTGATTTAACCGCTTTTCGAAAGCCCACGAATCGTCGTTGTGACGCACCAATCGTCTTACAACAGTTTGACCTTCTAGTGCTCAGCAACCTCTTCAATGGACGATGTCTCTCGATTGCTGTCGCTACCTGTTAATGTGAATTCTTCAGTTCAAACTTGATGACATGTACGTATCAAAGTGTCATGAGGATTGTTATGAACAAAGATGGCCAAAAGTAAATACAATCGTGAAACGTATTCTCAATACCGAGAATGTTAGTAGGGATGAGTGGCAGAATATGTTTGCGTAAGGATTTTACCTCATGTTTACTGTTCAGAGATGTACATTATATTGTTTCCTGGCAAGAATCAGCAACAACAGCAATCATTTCATCTCTTACTGAGACTGTCAAAGAATCTATCATGAGAGTTCAGCAGGTAATAGCTCCTCACTTCTGAAACATCTGCTTTAGCTCGTTATGCGTAATCAAGATGAATCTTCACTACTAAAATCATACATAGCTCAGTGGAATAAGTTTTCTAAACAAAGTGAATATCTTCCGCAACCATTTAGTCCATTAGAAAACTACCTGGTTGGCAAGCATCTTAACGGTCCCAACAAACGTCATCTTCAAGAAAGCACTATTCGAAAAGTAGCTTGCAATATGACTCCTAGTTATATTTTAGCTGATGCTGGAAACGTGGAACAGTACGATTTATGAATCCATCAAACAGAAACTTTTGGACAGTGCTATTAAGCTTATACAAGATGAAAGATGTGGTCAGGTTATTGATTCACAGCTCGTTATAGGTGTTCGTGAGTCATGTGGTAAGTATTCTCTCTCGTTTAGTGCGATGTTATTTTGCTGAATCATATAGCTTTTTTAGTGGTTTGCATCGTAAGGTCTCTTATGACTCGCTTTTTGAATGTCAAGTCTTAACCAGCTGTTTCAATTTTCATTCGACGCCACGTATACTAATTCCATTAGTTTCTCAGTTTAGAGTTTTCGTGCTTATTCTCTTACTAATAAGTAACACAGTACTCTACTAACATGTATCAGAAGGAAGCTGACACAAGAAGTCTCTTAATTTTATTGATCACACTTTAGCCACCAAGACTCGCTATCCCCAGAAATAAGGCGCAGTGGAAATATATAGTGAGATACGGTTTTTGTAAAGACTAGAGTTTTTTCATTAATTGGGAAGTTTCAAGTTAAATAGGGACCCAAAATTAACTTTCTTCCGAAATCGCTAGTGATCCTTGAAAAAAAGTCAAGTTTGGTTGGTTATGAATGTGCGTTCTACCTGTGTACACTGTAACTTGGTTTTTGAGCTGTACGATTTAGTTTACCGTTATTCTTTGACTTCACTAATTCTTGACTAATTACTGCATTCACTCAGTAATCCTGGCTGAGGTAATTTTTTGACAACATTACTTTTTAAAGAACTTGATTACATGTTTCATCAGGCTAATTTACTCATTTAAACACATGTTGGTACAAAGAGTCACCTAATTAATAATACAAAACAATTTAATAGATTTAAGAGTGGGCTGAGATACTGCCCGGATGCCCAAACCGAAGCAGTTGGCTTTCTTAGGCGGCCACAATTCGAACCTTTGACCCAAACGTCTTATCCACAAAGCAGCAGAGTAACGTAAAGAGATGCAGTCCCATGGTATCCAGTGACCAGCATTAAGTTCATACGCCATTTGTACCGTTAGGGTTTTGTAGCCCATGTTCACCATTGGTTTGGAATCAGGATTTTCCAAATATATCAGATGGATCCACCGTACCCACCAATCAAGTTAAAGCGCTGGACATTCGCTTTCCGTCCTTTCAACTTGGCAAATAATATCACCACCATAAGAAGGCAATTAATAGGAGTTAAGCGACAATGCAAGTATATTCGGGATGCGATTCTCCCTGTTGAGGCGCAAAATTTTGCTTCAAGACTGGGTTGCATTGGCACCTGAACTAGTGATAGGTAGTGAAGTAGTTGAGCGTGTCGATCGCCTCACTTATCTTGGTTGTCTCATCAGTGCTGATGGCCTGGTGTGTGACGAAATCTCACCACGGATACAGAAAGCTCGATTGACCTTTGCCAACTTGCGTCACCTATGGTGCAGGCGAAATATCCGTTTGCCAATCAAAGGGCGAATGTACTGCGCAGTAGTTCTCTCTGTCCTACTATGTGGATGCAAAACATGGCCGGTCAGAGTAAGACATTCGTAGGTTATAAGTATTCTATTATAGATGTCTTCCAAGCATTGCTCGTATATCCTGGGACAACCGAGTGAGCAATACTATAGTTAGGAAACACGTACTAGGTAAGAATGGAAAATCAATAGATGAAGTGGTGAAACTTCGTCAGTTGAGGTGGTTGGGACATGTGTTACGAATTCGCAACCACCAACTGCCTCGACGAGTGATGTTTTGTGGTGTAGGAGTAGGTTGGAAGAAAGCTAAGGGCGGTCAAACCAAAACAGGGCAGAAATACGCGAAGTCACTGACAAGTGGACTGAGTCATGTTGGTAGATGTAGGCCACCTGGTTGGGGTCCGCGAGACGATAGTAATCGATTGTTTGCAATGGCTCAGGTGCATCCACTATTTGTGTTCTCTCAAATTCTGACCTGAATTCCTCATCATCTCTATCTTTCTCTTTCTAAATTGATCTCTTTGAATTATAATTCTCGAATCATGCCTTCGTTCCCTAATCTTCTCCATTACTGCTAATACTTCTACTATCGCTACCGCCATGGGATTTCAATCGACAGTTGCGTCTCTGCTAATGTGGTATGGCGACCTGAACTGATGTATTTGCGTACTAATTTCTACGTTGTTGTTGATTGATTTATTGAATGTCTTGCATGGTTATACTAATACAGTGAAGTAATTCGATTTTTTGATAGCCAACATTTGTCTGGCGATGTTTGTAGTTCATATAAGGTCTTTGAATATTGTGCACTTGCATAGTCTAGTGATTTGTTTTCAGTTTGTTATGTATGTGCTAGTTTCACTTGCTTGTCTTTGTTCAGAAACCGTTGGAAACTATTCATACAGTGACTGCTCTTTTTTTACGATGTTGATATATCGCAGTTCAAATGTATCATTTTAGTGTTCTTCGTTTTCATTCCCTACTGATTCAATCCCCAATTCATTAACTTTGAACACTTATTTTTGCTATTCAGCTTACTTATAATCATCTGTATTATGTTGTTTTGCTTATTTTAGTCAACTTATCTACTTTATCAGAAAAATCCTTTCGAATATATGTGGATAACTTTGAAAAAGCATATATTGAAAGCACAGAGAGTTTTTATCGTATTCGTATAGATGAATACATTCAGGAACATGGAATAAGAGTAAGTTTGAAACTAAAAAATCAGTACATTTTTAATCAACATTAAAGCTTGAAGACAGTGGGAGACTATGAGATTTTAGTTTCAACTATCTAGTCATAATTATATTCGAGTTTCACTTACATTGGGTTAATCAGTTCCGATTGTTTATCTTTCGACAATAGATTTCCATTTGAGTAATGACTGAGCTATATCTTTTTTCATCATTTAGTTGAGTTTCGAGTACCTATTTCTCAAAACATTCTTAACCACCATACAATTTCGAACCATGTAACATAACATCTCCAGCCATTAATCACTATTCATTACTGTGCGGACTCCAGCCAGATAGTATGCATCCATCCACACTATTCAGATCAAAAGTAAGTGACTTCATAGGCTGGTCCTGCATCTTGGTTTGACCTCCTCCAACTTCCAGCACGCTCCAACACAAACCAGAATTCGATATCTGGGTAGGCAGTGGATGGCCGTCCAATCATCTTAGTCAATGTGGATTTGCAATATCACCAGCTGATTAAAACTTTTTATCCGGTATTCCGTGTCCAACCTCATCATGGTCCACTTGTTTGTTCCATCCTATACGAGCACTGTTTCGAAGACATCTGTGAGCGATTACTAGTGGTGTACATCTTAGTGGTGGCTCCGCGGTTAAGTCATTTGACTTCCGGTCACTAGGTCCTTAGTTCAAGCCCGGTTACTTGATGAATGAGTTAGTTGATTTGGTTATTTAGTGACATATACATACAGTCTACCTTAAGAGGTTATGTCTTCCATTCAAAGTTATTGATTATAGTATATTTACTTTGTGACGGAGGTAGTTATTTTTGTTGTCTCATCGTTTATACAAGTTTTTAATAACCGATGGAACTCTTCGTATCGACGTCGGGATTTTTTTTAGCCACTTCAGTCCTCTAGTAGAGTGCAACATATTTCAAAATCCAGGTTACCTCATAGTGGTTCCACCTGAAGATTACTTCAGTGACCTCCAACACAGTCTTAACATCAAAGAACCTAAGGTCGCACTTGTAATTTGTACCATAAAATTTCTTAGCAACTTGATGCATCCAGCATTCAAAAGGAGTTTGGTTCATTATCTTCCTTAAGAAATTACTCTATTCACTCCCGATTGTCCTAATTAGATATTAATTATTGTCCTTCTTTATAGTTTAAATATACAAATACGGAGGAAATTTATGTCTTAGGAATCTTATAACATTGAATATGATCCATAATGTCTTACTTCCGCTTGCAATAGTTTCTGATAAATTATAGTTATTTTATTTTCAAATTATAGAAATCATGTGTTTGATTATTCGAAAATCAAGTGATTATAGTACTTTTTGTATCTTTATTTTACTTGATAAATTATTTAACAATTTTCTTACCTTTAAATCACTTTCATGTAATAGTTAGATGTTATTATAAAGTCATCAATTTGAACATTATCTTAACATTTAAATGTTGATTATGGCTAAATAGGTAGTTAAAGTCATGTTAGTTTATTAATGGCTACAATTTCCGCCTACATATTTCTCATCTTTGAAAATTTTATATACCAACTGTTGTTGTGACCCACAGAGAATGAAATGAACTTGTAGCTTTTGGTTGGCCCCAAGTGAAGGTTGTTCCCTATTCGATTCGCATAAAACAGATATCTTGACTGTCGACAGTTTGCAGTAGTAGTATGAATGGCCAAATATGAAATATACTAGAAGAATGTTATGTATCTTATCCTCAAAAAAACTATAATTGTAAGTCTAGTAGATGAAGCTTCGTGGTAAAGTACGCATAAAGTACTAATGTATAATCGAATTAACAGGAACATGGACTGAAGAGGTATATATATCGAAGGCCTCTTTTATTTATGATGAGCATCTGTTTAGTAGGAAGATAGTGATATAGGAATAACATACTATCTGGAGTATTGGTAATTATCCAAAAATTGAAATAAATTTATTTGCGCCTATAAAAGCCACTGGCAAACGAGTGGATATAAATCGAATTGACCAGTAATCGGGACTTATCAGACTAAAGGTTCTGGTCCCAACCCCCCCCCCCGGTGATGAGATTGTAAATACGCATTGCTGAGGAGTCTCATGCTAGGACAAAGCAGCTGTCCAATGTTTCATGGTTTTCAGTAAGTGTCTTACAGAAATCAGTTAATGGTTTATACTAAGAAAATTCCACAATCTTCACAAAACCCCTGATATTCCTCACGCCTAAGATTGTATTCGCCAACAATATACCGAAGCAGATTCGCTTCATTAATTTGTTTCAGTAAACTAGTGATGTTCCTACTATAATCTTTAAGAACATTACTATTTGTTGTTTACTTGTAAACAAAACAATGTGTTATAGATTGCAATACCTTCCAACAATGGTTCTCCACAGGTCACAAGGATATTAAAGTCAGCTAACATTGAATCATTGTTGATAATTAATTGATGGTGGTTGAAATGTGATTTTTTTCTCTCTTGAATGTTTCACATAATTCCTAGCTTGTTTTTAGGATACATTTTTGAATAGTGTTTGAATGTTTACATGGAATCAGTAGTAAATATGTGTGTTATCATATAAAACTCCACTTGGAGCCCCTCTGGGGCTATTGCCGGACCCGAGCCCGGATAAAGGAGGAGGGTTGGACATGGATTCGGCGGCCCCATCCCATAAAAAACTAACTCGCTAAAAAACGCTAACCACGAAAATCAATTCAAATATATATGTTATCATATAAATTATATTCGTCAACACTTAATTCATTTTTATTTTCTTATTACTAATATTTAAAAAAAAAAGAGTTACATGCAATACGCTTTACAGAAACTAGCTGAAGAAGAAGCTAGAGCGGTGAAATATTTAGAAACTCAGCCAGAATTCAATTCCGTCCCTAAGTTGATAAAAGTATGCCTCAAGACATTTGTAGTCGACTATATGGTAAGTCTGTCGTTGCTTGTTTAATTGTATAGTGTAAAACATGTCCTTACTTTATGGCTCTCTGTGACAGTCCATTCAAACCAACAAATACAATTCATATGTTCTGTAGACATTGTAGTTTTGCATTTAATATTTTCTATTTTAGTAGATTTAGAATTTCAGCATTATCAACTGTCTTGAAAAGTTCTATTCACTGTTTGACTTTACAGGCTGATGTCTGCAAACTCCTCCTATGCCAATTTTCATTGCTTACATATAAGTTTATACAATCTAGCAATGTTATTTTATCGTCTAAATTTTACTTTAACAGGAATTGTTTACATCAGACATATTAGTATAAATTTAAAAGGGTTGCTGCTTTTTCGAAATATTAAAACAATGGTATGAATTAATTTATATCAAATGTGATTGCTTATCTAAGTATCTATCAAATATGATATTTATTTATAAAGAATATTATTTGTGTGGCACAAATGTACTTTTTTAAATATGATAACGGAAATTTTATTTGTTTATTTAGTAGTAGCCTATGGTAATAATTTGATATATATACAGATAATTAAATGTTATATCATATTGTTAGATCGTCAGTAACAATGATTTCTCTTCAGCTATTTCTCATAAAAGCCAACCAATCAGATGCAACCTTGAACTTGGTACACATATGCATCAGTTCCGGTTGTCATAATCCATTAGCATAGAGAGATGAAATCGTCAAACCGAATCCTATAGTGGTAGAGATAGTAATAGCACTAATGGCAATGAAGAAGAAGAAGGTGAAACTCAAGGGAATATAAATTAGTGAAATAAATAAATAATCACAATAAATTCAGAGATGTAGAATTTGCGGGAAGACAAAGAATGAATGCATCCGTGCTGTTGAAACTATTTCATTTCCCATGGGAATAAATTGGTATATAAATATATATTTGTATATTGCATTTGTATGGTTGTGACTAATTTTAGACTATATCACTTTTAGTCTCCAACAATTTATTAAGGTTGTCCAGGGTGATCGTCCATCAGTCCAGGTCCTCCTTACTACGTTTAACTCTTCAGTCACTGACTATATGAACTGATTCCGTTTCTGGGGATGATCAAACTATTTGTCTATGATCAATAAATCTTGTAAAATAGTTTATAAATGGGTAATCAGATTCAACCACTTGAATCTTCACAGTTTATCTGGTCAATGGCTCGGATTAATTTTAAAGTATAATGTCCCATTTCGGAGGGGAATCACGAGAAGCTTCTCAAATATGCCTAACCTTGCTACTCAGTGTATGGAGGACTGTGCAAATTTAGATAATGACTACTTTATTCTTGATTGTGTACTTGACAAATTAGGTTAGAGTGTGGTTAGTAGACAACTGTGATAAGTACTATTCGATGTAAATGCCAGATAACAGTTTACGAAAGTCTGACAAGTTTTATAGTAAACAGTTTTCATCAATAAAGTTCGCCAGCTCGACTCCTCTATCACTGATAGACAATCTCACTCGACCTTTCGATCAACGTAGTCGGATATGTTGAAAGAATTGTGCCGAGAGTTATGAGTTGATATTTGTGTGTTCCGGAGCTTGGTGAACGTCTCTGACACCATTTTACAAAAGTTTCGGTAAAATGTATTCTGGCTACTTAATAATTTGAAGTAGTGTAGATTTTTTAATATTACATTGCTCAACTTTTGAACCACTTAGGACCAAATCCTTTCAGAAGTTCCAAAACTATTACATGAAGAAGATACTAATCAGCTCAGATTATGCTATGAGTTAATTAATCGAGTTCCGCAAGAAATCGACCGTTTATTGGTCCTTTTGGAAGAATATATTCGACAAACTGGCTTAAAGGATATACGTGCTAATGCAGAGATTATGCTTAAAGTTAGTTAATTTTTAATAAACTTCTTTGTCATTTAAATTTTTTAGTGTATGTGTCAATGAATGGTTGTATTTACCGACTAACGTGTTTATTTGTTATCGGACAGTTTGCTTATCTGCATAATACATAATTTACATGTACTGATTTTTGTATTTGTTCATACAATTTTCTATAAAGTATTTTTCTCCCATTGTGTGGTAAAAAATCAATCTGTGATAATGTGTATAGTGGCTGAATCAGACTTCGGACTATTATAGTACTGTTCTAAAACAGTTTATCTTAACCACATATTTCTTGATTTCCATTTTAATTATTAGATATTGATCAATTTTTACAGTTCAGATTTTATCAATTACATGGCTTTTTTTTGTAACTGCATGATGAGTCAAATAAAAGCTTAGTCAGTCAACTGTTTTAATTAACACTCTTTTATTTACAGATTCAACGAAGTATCACTTTATTTAGAGATTTAATAGCAACTTGAATTCTATCCAAATAATTCGAACTATCGTCTTAACATATTTGGTATATGGTTAGTTAGCTGTGGAATTCAGGACGTGCATTTCGTCCTATTTTTGGACTTGTCGACCTTACCTAAATCAGTGTATTGGCGTTCACACTGTATGAGGAACATGGATAGTATCATTCGATGTGAATACTAAGTGACAGCACACAAGTTTATGATACGTATTGTAGTAGACAGTTATGAAGAATGCGATTCACCAGTTTGATACCCCTTTTAATGAGAGAGAAATCACAATTCCGTTTCATTTCGGTTATAATGCACGTATGCATGCAGAAACTGAATAATTTCAGTCCTTAACATCAATAACCAGAGCAGACATAGCTATACGAATACGAATCCTTACATCGACCGGAGTTAGATATGGACACCGCTGGATCCTGACTCAGTGGTCAAGAGGTTAGGTGTTTGCACGCTGGACAAGATGTCTTGGGTTCGAATCCTGTGAGTGGTAGGAGTCGTGAATGCGCACTGCTGGTGAGTCCAGTACCAGGATGAAATGGCCGTCCAGTGCTTCCAGGTTTCTGATGGTGGTCTAACAAAGATTCATTCACAATTTCAATGTAATACAAATAATCGTAGGTCATTGGTTTATACGTTTAGTTTGTGAACTACAGATTCGAACTTATTGAGAACTTTTGAAATAAAGTCTGAACGACCAGTTAGTATTATCAACCTAGTTACAAGGTTTTGTTTGTTGTTGCCAGGTGATTAGATTTTTTCAAGTTTAATATCTAGTTAAGATTCAATGTGTATTTAATGAAATTGATGTTAGTCCTCACATACAGATATTACCAATTACACAAACTTATACCTTGCTTATTCAATTATAAAAAGTGGATTCATCATGGATATCACGTTTCATAAGGAGACTGGTGATTATAAATCATAGGAATAGTTAAAACTTGCGTAACCCCCAACCAAGTAGAAAAACCAGCTACAATTCATGTATAATTACGGACTTCGATTCAACTGTACTTGATTAAGCAGATGATCACGTTACCAATCGACTTCTGTACAGCTGTTATACAGACTGTCTTATCGAAAAACTTTGTGACAATCCAAAAGTATTGAGACCAATAATCAAAACATTAGTATGGAACGTGGATAAAATCAAAAGTATGCGTTACATGCATACATGGTTTGCATAGATCAAGGCCTATGCAGTCCACGGTTCACACTTATATATATGGAAGCGATTTTTTTTGTTTTACCATCAAGCCGTAGCTCAGTAGCAGTGGTAAACAAATGAATTATGTACCTTCAACTGATTAATTTATGAGTTGTTCATTGGTGATCTGCTCCTTAACTCTCTTACTCCAAACAAGTTTAGTGTTGACTTCCTATGCACTGGTTACGGGTTAGTTTATGGCCATTGCTCTGGCTTACACCAGAATTTGCGGATCGTCATAGATATAATCCAGTTAGATACCAGAAAGAATAGATTTTTTCCAGTTTTGCATTTCAAATTTACCTGTACCATACACCTCTTTTCAAGTAGTCCATATTCACGGTAGAGTTGGTGTAACGTAACTTGCGGCCTTGTCATAAACATTTTTTTGTACTATTGAAATAAAATTTTAAGACTAGTTGGTAAATTGAAATTTCGTAATAAATAACATTTAAATGCATATTTTTGTATGTGATTTACAATAATATATTGGTTGAATGTAACGTCATATTATGTGTTATGTCGAAAATAGCCTAGACTGAAGTGATAGCGGAGTAAGTGGAGTATACTGAAGTGGAATATGTTAGTTTGTCATAAGAAAGTCCCCAAATTAAATATCATCAGTTCATACTAAAAGTTTGGTAATTTCTAATTCGCTAGGCTTATATGTTTCAATCTGTGTGTGTGCATGTGTGTGGGGATAATAATTATTCATTCAAACAGCCTTTACAACAAAAAAGCACCTAATTTTATTGTTGGTAATATGATTATTCTCGAATTTATCTACCTCAAGGCTACTGGGTTTGTTTTTGAAAAGTGTACAGGTACACATAATTGATTCAGTTGGTGCATGTTGTGCTGTATTGAAGGATCTTGCTTTTATTTGTGTATGTTGATGTCTATTGCTGCAGCGGTTGCTGCTACACCGACCGTCTTCTCTTGCGTTAGTTGTTGATTATGCGATGGAAAAGCCAGATCATCTGCCATGTCCAATTTGTCCAGCCGCATCGAAGCTGTTCACTGTATTTCATACATTCCCTGAAATGTTGATGTCTTCATAGTCCAGTCGGCTACCAGCACTTGATGACATGATGAAGTTAATGATCCCTCCAGTTGTTCTCCTTGGTAGTTTCATCTTTATTGAGTAGATCAGGAAAGGCTTGGAACTCATTGCTAAGGGCTATCTTGAATTTGTTGAGTTTGCCAGTATCCTGAAAAAAGGCAGATCTTTTTGTGTTTCACTTTCACCTTAGCCACTAACAAGTGATGACCTGCAGCTTTATCAGCTCCTCTCTTTGTTCTTGCCTCCTCCATGGTCCTTCTGAACTTTTTATTGATGCAGATATGATCGACTTGGTTCTGTAGTGTCATTTAGTGAAACATAAACAGCTTTGTGTATGCATTTGTGTGGGAATATAATGCTACCTATAACCATTTTTTTGATAGCACATCAATTTGCGCATCTCTCACTGTTTCAGTTTCTTTAGGTCCATGTTGTCCCACAATATCTTTATATCCGATACTTTTCGTTCCAATCATGGCGTTTAGGTCTCCTTTGCTGTGTGTTTCTCGACGATTGGCTAAAGCACCTCATAGAATTGATCTTTATCATCCTCGTTGCTATCTCTGTTGAGTACGTAGCAGTGGATGATATTCATTGTAATCCCGTCTTTCTTTGTTTTGAAGGATGCTTTGATGATCCTGGGTCCATAAAATTCTCATCCTATCAGTCCTTTTTGGGATTCTCTGGCCAGTACATCTTCTTGTGTGTGTCAGCCATTTTATTCTTCGTGGTCGGAGTACAGCGGCATTTCTCCTGAAGCTAGTCTTTATTGTGTAACCTGCGTTCAACGCGTTTCACTGATTCCAAGTACCATTAGTTTGTATCTTTCCATTTCTGCAGCAACTTGGATGACTCTCCCGGTCACCCACAATGTTAGGACATTCCATCTACCTATATTAATTGTTGCTGTGGTTGTCAGGCGTATGGGCCTCGCGACTGCTGAAGAAAATCGACTTTCATTATGAGGCATGATAACTCTTCTAAATGAAAACCCTTTAACCCCCTGTGCAAAATTTAGACGATTGGAACTATTTTTTTGGCAATTTAGCTTTCTACGGGATGGTGTTGCTTAGCTCATAACCAACCCTCCTTTGTCTGGGCTTAGAATCGACATTTATTCTAGAAGAGCTCTAAGCGTCTTTGAACTGGTATGCATGCATAACACTGTCCAATTCAATACTGGTCAGGATCTCAAACAAATATAGGTTGTTTTTCTGCTTTTCTGATGATATTGTTCCCTATATTTCATTTTTAGGATGCAGATAAATATGTGTGCCGTCTGTTGAATTTATACGTTCGTTTTTCACATATGGTTGATAGTGCGTTTAACAACGATCCTCATTTTTTAACTGCACGCGATAAAGCTTATCAAGACATTGTAAATAATACATCAGTTTTTGTGACTGAAATTCCAACTTCTGTTCGGTAAGCTCTCCATTGGTTTATTAGCTAATTCATACTCAGTATTTTGTATAGTGTAACAATAATTGTTAAGATTTGTCCTTAACACTAATCTGAAATAATCATTTGTTATGTCGGTAATCAGGCACTAATTTAAAAAAACACTAATTATGATAGTAGAACTCATAATAGTCGAACCCATAAGTTCTTTTACAATTTGTAACTAATAATTTCGTTTCAATACAATTATACGAAAGTTGTGTACGATTTAAGCCAGTCACTTCAAACATCATGGAGTAGTAGGTCATTATTAACCTGAATGGTAACATCACATCACCATAGTCAAGTGAAATAATGTAAAGTAATGAACAGAGGAGTCGAAGTAATTGTAATATCCATAAGTTTCAAGAAGGCTATAGGTAAATAGCATGATTTGAAAGGAAGTAATGAATTCGTGGTATATAAATTATGAAATCCTTTTGAAACTGATAATTTTAAAGAAAATAAAAGCTAAATTCCTTTATGTGTTCACTATAATCGATTTTTGAGCCAATGAAACTTCCCAAGGCCTTCTGTCGTTTAGAATAATTACTACATGGACTAAAACATCTGTATCTCTGTATACATATCAGTTTAATACTCATTGATTTCATGTTCTCTTACCACTTCCTTGTTTTTTTACTCGTTGGGTTTTCCAATCCAGTTCTACATCAGACGGTGTTGTTTGTTGAGATAAGCTACGGCTACGCATTTGTAATATATTTCTTAGCCGTCCCTATTGACAAAAACTCACACCACCCTATTTTATATATTTGTTCAGAAGTTCCGAAATATCCCTTGGGAAAGTTCTTAGTGGCTCAGAAACGGCAGGAAATGTTACTCCTAACTAGCATTGAATATCGCCTTCATAGAAATGTCAAAGAATGCAGAATCACATGTGACAATTCTGATTGGATATTTAGTATGGTTTCCTGAGGTTATGAGAAACTATAAATGCCCTCATTTTTCTGTACATAAACTAACCTTGCAGTAGAGCGTTTTTTTCTTGTACTTCGCGCGCTTTTTCTCTTGTGTTCAATTTTCAGTGTGTGTATTTAGTCTACAGTTATTAAAAGCAGCTAGGAGGAAATCGGATCTTGTATTCATTCAGCATGCATTTCACACTATCATTCCTTATTATTATATTGTTAAAATACTGGGTTCAATATTACTTTGTAAATCATATATATTAGCTTAATTAAATAACTGATAAAAATAGATCGAATTGTTTATCTTTTCACACAAAATCTAACATCAGGTTGAAATAAACAAGAAACGAATTTCACAACATTGTTGATTTGTCTTTCTTGAGCTCTAAGGGTAAACAAAAATGGGCGAGGAGGAGGGGCAGAGGATATTTTCGCTTGACTTTCAAGATTGATAATGGCACTGGAGTCATGATGAATTTCATGCTTGGTAATCTAATTTTTTTTTTCTAAAATACATGTTCCTATAATTTTAATAAAAATAAGTCGAAATACATTTTGGCCCAACTTTTTTCATTGCAAGTTTTTATAATGCAATCCTTGTAAAATTACTACGCTTTAACTTGCACTGTCGATTTTTTATTTTTGTTTACTGTAACTTAAACTTTTTCAGTAGCGGTATTTCACGTGTCGAATCTCGTTGTCCTGAATTGTTAGCATCTTATTGTGATATGTTACTTCGTAAGTCGCCAACTAATCGTCGTTTGACAACTGATGAAATTGAACAAAAATTGCGCAATGTTTTATTAGTATTAAAATATGTCAATAGTAAAGATATTTTCATGCGTGTTCACAAATCTCATCTTACTCGACGATTAATACTCGAGACATCAGCTGATAATGAAATGGAAGAATTGATGGCTGGACGTTTACGAGTATGTTTATAGAAATTGTTGCTAATTTTGTTGTTGTTGTTGTTATTACTACGTTAATTAAATTTTTGTTCACCTCAATCGACTGTATGATTCTTAAGGTTACTTAAAATCAATCGCGCAGCTGTTGCGTATAGAGTAAGTAACCTGTTGAGTGTCCACCTAATGTTCCTTGACAAAGTGTCGAGAAAAAGTCTAGAAACATTCTATCCAATCAGCATTGGATAGAGAGGCTTATCAAAAAACATCTAGGAAAATGAAAGAATGTGCGTTGCATTTCGATTGGGTAATTTTACCCATGTTGCTATCATAATAAGTGTGTTTCGGAAAATTTCTAAGGAATCTAGAAACCTAGAAGTACAATTGATTTTCTGTATGACGATTATTTTTGAAATAAAGCTTTTACTCATATTTATATAAAACTTTTCATACAAATTAACAGCATCGGATTCAATTATAGATTGTAATACAATTTTCCATTCAGTTGTTTAATGCATATTTATTGTATTTTATTTAGACAAATAAACATTAGTACAAAGGGGCACTTAAATATTTGTACGCCAGATAGATTGTTGAACTTGTGAGTGGACTAAGATATTTCGCCTGGACGCTCAAACAAAAGAAGATGGCTGGCTTTCTTACACAGCCACACCGAGTCTAATAATCCACAAGGCATCAGAGTATAGCGTAAAGGAATGCAGTCCCATGGTATTCAGGGGCCAACATTAGGTTCATTCATCCATTCATCCCGCTAGGATCCTGGAGCCCATGTGCACCATTCGTTTGGAATCAGGATTTTTCAACTGTATTAGGTGGATCCACCGTACCCACCAATCCGGTTAAAGCGCTGGACATTCGCTTTCCGTCCTTTCAACTTGGTAAATAATATCACCACCATAAGAAGGCAATTAATAGGAATTCTGTGACAGCGGCTATATACACGTGGACATATAAGAATATCTGATAAGACTGAATGGGCTCTCTCCATTCTTGTCCGTATGTTTAAGTAATGAATCACTTACCTAAAGTCAAACTGTTAATAGTGAAACAATAAAATCCAGTTTATAAGTTGTTTCGTTCATCTAAAATCCCGTATCCTCTGTATGTGAAGTTACTTTGCAGTTGATAACTTCTGTTTTTTTTGTGTTTAGGGAAAAGTTTTTTTTCATTTTGTCTTTAGGAAGTTGGAATGCCAGCTGAACAAATTAATAAACTTAGTCGAATGTTTCAAGACATAAAAATATCACATGATCTTACTGCTGAATTTAAAGAGAAATATAAAACTTCTTCATCATGCGCATCCAATAATATGCCATCATTAAATTTAGATATTATAACAATTAAAATACTCAGCGGTGGTGCATGGTTATTACGTCCTCAACCGCAATCGTCTATTTCATTGCCAGCAGAATTAGAAGATTTTCTTCCTCAGGTAAATTAAGCTTTAATGTGTATTATCGAAGTTATATATATATATAAAACTTGACAGTGATGTAAATATTGGCTTATTATACAAATTTCCATATCGGGTTCCGATTGAAGATAAAGTGAAACTCAGTCCACTTTTTATCCTCAGGGGCTGCGCAAATATGTTCTTATAATACAACGGGTGATAAACCACTTCTATCTCGACAGTTACTCTTCACAAATGATTATCCATCCAGATTTTTCGAAAGGAAACTTAACGCCAAGTTTACATCCTGAAAAAAGCTGTGACAATTCAAAAGAAAAGAAAACCGAAATCTTGAATTAATGGTTTTCAAAATCGTTAGATAAAACCTATTCAGTCAAGCCGGCCTACTATTCGTGGTTATGTTAAGGATAAGTTTCCACTTTGGGCCACATCTATATGCATCCATAAATTTTCTTGTTCCTGTGGGGCAGGTGACATTCGCTGCTTAAAGCGACCACCCTCCAAACTCATCTCAGGTCATTATCTGGCTTGGGAGTGCAAAGCTATCAGTAGCTCAATACGGGACTATCTGATCAACTCTGAACACGTTGCTCCTAATGAGTTATCGCCTAAACTAACATAAACAGTCAAAAGAATCGGGTCAAACAGAGTTTCAATCAAAAACTTATGCACTGCTGAGATGTGGACAATTCACCGAATCAAGCTTGACCTCTGGTTTTCGTAATGATATGCCCAACCTATTATCCTTTTCTGGCCGTAATCCTCTTTTCCATTATGTTTTTAATTATTATTATTTGTATTTTCAAACTGTAATCAGTCATTATTATCCTTTCTATATATTTTTCATACAACTATAAACACGAATATGCAGCTGAAATAAATGATTTCGTTGCAAAGAAAAAAAAGACTTTTCTTCGTTGCATTTACTTCATAAAAGATTACTTTACTTAAACTGTAATTCGATATTTGTGATAGGGGTGTCTTTATTTTTAGTTTTGTGTCGGAAGTGTCACAACTCAAATAAATTAATTTACTAATTGTGACTAATCTGTTCAGCCGTATCTATGCAATCTACGCAAATAATTGTAGAAATATTGACGAAGATTCTTTTTTAAATTGTAAAATATATCTGAAACAAAGACTTGACGTCATAACTAATTGTTATCAAATTTCATTGCCTTAGTTGCATAGTAGTATTTTAATGGTTAGAAGGGCATTCGATTATCTAGCATAACCAAGTAAGTCAGTCAGCTGCAACGTAGAACTTCGTACGTGCGTACATCAGTTCAAGTTGCCATACTACGTTAATACACAGAGATTGAATTGTCAATTCAAATCTCATAGTAGCAAAGGTAGTAGAAGTATTAGCAGTGATTGAGAAGATTAGGGTTCGAAGATATGCTCACTATAACTAAGTGACATATTTAAATCGAACTTCACCTTAGTGAGACGATTAACATTGATCACATAAGCCACTTATAACCGGTAGCTAGAGGCTAGATGACGGCTCACAATCGTGTGCAGTGGTGCAGATGCATCCATTCTATGTGTAGACAAAGTTTTTCGACTATTCCTATCAATAAACTGATGATGATACAACCTGGTCAGAAGTCTGTGTTATTTATTGACTTTAGACTGCACCGAAATATAATTCGAAATTAGAAAACAAGATCATACTAGCCAGATGAATAGGCTTGTGATGTTATGTAATGACATGCTTATTAACGCAGAATAAGGAAACAAAATAAACATGGTAAACTGACATAGGTGATTGAAAGAAATTCACTTGTAGGTAGGTGGTCATTCATTCTTCAATCAATGAACGAACACCTGATTGCTAAAATCCTATAAGCCTTAGGCATTGCATCATCAGTATTGAAGCATCGAAAATCTCTTACCAACTCCACAACATTTTATGTCTACAACCTCATACGCTTGAAATTATATTAATTATTTACTATTATTAATTTTCATTTTTCAACCATACTCTTCAGATTGAGGACTTCTATCGTCAAAAACATCAAGGTCGAAGTCTCCTATGGCAACATCATCTATCTCATGGAGTACTGGCTTTTACAAGCGATCATGGTCGTTATGAATTTGAAGTGACCACTTATCAGCTGGTTGTTTTATATGCTTGGAATAGGAGATATGATCAACACTTGCATTTAGATTGTTTGCTTACTTCAACTGGTTTACAAGATGTTGATCTTCGTCGAACATTATGGGTATGTTAACAATAAGCAGCTTTTATATGCATATATATATATATATAAGTACTTTGTTCGATTCATTCTGAAAATGATAATATTATTTTTTAACTAAATCGAATCATTGGTTAGTTTTTATGTTGAAATACTTAGAGTAAATTTTATTGAAGCCAGCTAGCTAGCTAATCATGGAAATGATTGAAAGTCACCTGTTGTTGTAGATAAATAGGTTCTGTTTTAGTAGAAAAAGAAAATGATACCCACTTAATGCTCATGGTGATTGGAGAAAGTTTACCTAAGGCTGAGCTTATATCTTGTCAGTGAGTGTATCATATCTATTCACTAATAAATTGATAATAAATCCAATTTAAAACATTTGTGTGCACATAGCTAAAAATGCTTTTATTCTGTAGACAAGTTTTTGCAACATGCATTTGCTCTGTGTCACATGTGTCTTATGCTAGTGTACAAAACTGGCTGACACAGTAGCGGATTGAAAGGAACCCAGGATGGAGGAAACCTCGTTGGTGCGTCACTTCATGAGGTCATTAACTGTTGAATTGATCTATTTGTAGAGAGGCAAAACTCTTGGTTGGGATCCAGTATCATATTGATGATCAACAACTGATAACTTTCAGTGGTGTGACAATCGGAAATCAGAGAAATATATTATTTATTCAGAACTATAATAAAGCATTAACTTCACTTCTATACTAGAAGTAACCATTATGTAGCTGTCATAATTTTCCTGGTAGGCAGCATGGTAGAAATTTTAAGTTTCAGAATTAGAAATTTTCGCTACCCCTGAGTTTGATTTACTAGATTAACGGTTAAATTCGCTTGAATAACGCACCGGAGGTGGTTTATTTAAGTCAAAAGACTGTTTTGAATACTTGGAAATATTTATATATAAGTATGCAGTTAAATATATGTTTGTGGTTCTACAGTAAATCATAATTAATTAAATCTAAGCTTACATTCAAGGTGGTAAAACAACAACAGCGTGTTCGACGTGGCTATTCGTGCGAAATACGTTTCGACCAATGAGACGGGATTAAACCTGATTATTGATAAGTCATATAGCAAGTAATAAAACAAGAATTTCACACACCCAGTGATTACAAATAAACATCGACTACGAATTTGACCGACCGAAATTCTTCAGTTTGCTTACTTAACGTCACATCTTAAAGTACCGAATAAGCCGTTTTCTATAGAACAGCCCCAAATGTATTTAATTTATCTAAAAATATCTTTATCCACACAAAACTGGTCACTTTCTAAACAAACTTACTGTTTTCAACTTTTTAGTGACATTAGGGGATACTGAAATATATTTGTAATATTTACATGATCATTCACTCTTAATTAGGATATTCGTAGGTTACTAGTATTCGATCATAGATGTCTCTGAAGTATTGCTCGTGTATCCTGGAACAACTGAGTAAGCAATGCTGTCGTCCGGGAACGAGTACTAGTTAGGGATGGCAGATCAATTGATGAAGTAGCGAAACTCCATCACTTGAGGTTGTTGGGATATGTGTTACGAATGCTCAACCACCGACTGCCTCGACGAGCTATCTATTGTGGTGTAAGAGTAGGTTGGAAGAAAGTTACAGGTGGCCAATCCATGAAATCACTGACAAGTGAACTGAGTCATGTCGGTAGGTGTCGGCTACCTGGTTGGGGTCCGCGAGAGGAATGTCACCAATGGTTAGAGACCTTGAACGACATGGCTCAAAACCGTTTGCAGTGGCGCAGGTGCATTCATTCCTTTTGTTCTCTCGAATTATGACCCCCTGAATCCCTCATCATCCTTATCTTTCTCTTTCTATATTTATCTCACTGAATTATACCCTAATCTTCTCCATTACTGCTAATATATCTACTATCGCTACCACCATAGGAATTGAACTGACAGTTGCGTCTTTGTGCTAATGCGCGGTATGGCAGCTTGAACTGATGTACTTACGTACGAAGTTCTACGTTGTAACTGACTGATTGACTATATCTTTCAGTAACAGTATGACGGCATACACTATATATATATATATATATATATATATATATATATATATATATATATATATATAGGCAGAATACACAGATATGTACTCGTAGTCTTCACTCACCCATTTAGAATACAAGCAGGTTATTGACTATCTTCTCTCACATCTCTTCCAGTCTTCAATGTACGCTGATCTCGCCATTCATTTTAACCTTCAAACATTCCTCTCCCTTATAACAACTTCTGATTGACGCCCCACTGCTTGCTACTTATTTGGCACCTTGTGACTAACACCATTCACCACATCAGGTTAGAGTCGTGAATATATGCACTGCCGAGGTGTTCCACACTGAAGCAAAACACAACTGTCCATTACTTCCTGGATTTTTTTGCATTGATTGTTTAACTCTACTACTTCATAATGTAAACTAGAATACTTCAAGAGTTATTGATTTTCTCCGATCACAGTTTCATTCCACTCCTTATCTGTTAGATCATTCAATGCATTATTGTCTTGTTATGATCGAATGTCCAATTGGATGATACATTTTTTAAAATCTTATTCTATATATTCATTTCATATTGTTTAGTCATTGTGTGAACATCCGAAATTGGAACAGCAACTTGTTTGTTATTCTCCTAAAGTAACCTCTGAGAAACAATTCACTGAGAAAACCGAATTTTGGCTGAATTTAAAATTTGTAAATACGTAAGTTCGATGACTGAGTATATATACGTGACATTTAGAAAAAAACGTAAAAAAAAATACACACAGAGTCGTATACTGTTTCAATATTTATGTTAGTCTGTTTATCTCTACTATTATACTTATCTGATTCAAACTAATGCAAATTGTTAATTATTCTATGGTCTAGCCTTAAAAAGATAAATTAATTAATTAATTCCGCGACTTTGAATTCATTCTGATAAAGAAGAAAGGAATGTTTGCCAGTTAAATTAAACATACTCCATGTAACTTCATTGAGTCATCTAGTCTTGTTATCACATCGTGATAAATATAATTAGGGTGATTAATTTTTCTGTGTTTTCAACTGATCATAATATATTATTACTTTACTTACTTTATGCCTTGATTCATGTTACACAGAGCGCATACAGTATATTATTATTATCATGAGTAATATTATGTTGAACTAGTTGTGATCACACATAATTTTCATCTCCTTTTTTTAGAGTCAGTTTTGTGATCTTGCATTTTTCATCGGGGATGATGAATTTTTTTAGATTATAAGTGATGTAATGAGTACATTCGGTTATTTGACGTCATATTGATAAACTGACCAGCAGTTTAGACTCAATCTATTCACATGTTTTTTTTTTCGTAAATGATTAATGAGAAACTTGTATCAAACATTCTAATTTTGTCACACAAATCGTGTAAAATGATACATTTTATCAGCGTTGTAGCTTAGACGAAGAATGTTTTAGCTTGATGAGGGAACCTTTATGTGAATGGACTAATCTTTAAGACGTTAGACAACATAGGTACTGCTCTTAAGATTGGTCTATTCATTTCTCAATCACAATCTCTAGAGTGGTCAACGAATAAAAACTGGTTGGATTTTTAGCTGTCAGCTCTCTGATTATTAATTGACAGCATTCGTTATTCAGTTCTGTGCGTCCAGTGAAATGCTAGGTTGATGAACTGTGGAGGGTGAAATTTTTAGGTTTTTATCCGACTCGAAAAGTTTCTGATCTTTGTTTAGTGACCCAAACACTCCTGTCACTTTGGAGCAGATAGGAGAAAGGTAATAGTCAATTCCAAATGTTTGTAAAAACGTGCATTTTAGACGACTGAAGAAACTTGTCGGAGAATAACCAGATGAACCTGACCACCGTCGATAGAAAGTGTGTTCATATTGAAGCATGGAGCGGTGGCTTAGTAGTGAATGTGTCCGGAATTTCGGTCTCGAACTTCCTTTTACCTACTTAAGCTTATACTACCAAGTAGTATGACAGACTGATTTAGCATGCATTATTTAAGCGTTTATTCAAATTTCCTAGTTTAAATCAAGGATTGATCGTAGTTCAATCACCATTAACAATCAGGAAGCACCAGACAGCTGTTTCGTAACTTTGTATCATTATCCTTCCACTATTCCATCGGGTATGGCATCCAGGATGTTTGTGTCTAGCCGTAAGTATTTATACTTTGGATTCATAAACCATCATCCAGTGATGTATAAGTCTAGTTTCAATCAATCCCCAATTTCACACTGACGTGTATAAAATAAACTAGCTGCAATACAGACAGATTTTAAAAAAAAATATTCTACATAATTTACTAACAGTTAAAACTCCAACAAAATATTCAAATCATACTAGACGTTTCACGTTTCTTTAATATATTATTCTTACTATATATTCTGTTGATATTGTTGTTTACCATAGGAAAATGGGTAAAATTCAAAATCGACGAAGAATCAATCTGATTGGTCGATTACAATTAACGCATGAAATAACAAATGAAGAAGAAAGTATGGCTATTGTTGAGTTACGTCAATTACGTGCACAAGAAGGTATAATTAAATTATTGAAAACACGTAAACGTTTACATCATAATGAATTATACCAAGAACTAGTAGATCTGTTACGTTTTCAATTTGTCCCATCGAAACGTTTAATTAAAGAAGTATTAGAATGGCTCATTGATAAACACTATGTTCATCGTGATAATAACGATATGAATGTGTTTGTTTACGGTACTTGAACATTGTATGTTTCTTTTGTTGTGGACGACTTGTTCGTCGTTTTGTGGTTTGTTAACAACTCAATCAATTAATTATTTTATTTACCTGAAGTAAGCAAACGCTCTACCCCACCTCATCCTCTGTTTTATATACTTCTTTGTAATTAGTCTGTTTAAACAAACCAAAAACAAACAAACAAAAAAACGTGCTTTTCCCTCATGCGTATTACAAACTTGTCTTTTTCTTACATCCTTTATTATTAATATTATTATTATTGCGAAATGTAAAGTAAATGAGGTTAAAGTTTGGTTTTCTATTGTGTTTGTGATTTTGTTGAATATTTTTCTATCAATAAAATGCCTTTTAGTGAATAAAAAGTTATCTTATCGATGATATTGTAACATATCCGACAACTTTTTTTGTTCAATTCATTGGTTAAAACAAATGTATTCAATAAGTATATTTTATTTTTCAAAATGATAATTTAACAAATTAATGTTGAAATTATTATTATTATTAATACTGTCGAAAATTAGTGAATACACTTTATGAAAAATGAACAAAAATAGAGCAGTGCCGAATACATTCATCCCGAAATCATGGAATGCCGCAATGAATCCTTCGCTGTCTTCAGTGTACTCTCTTTTCATTACACCGTATAAGACATTTTACCTTTTTCTCTTTCATTTTCAATATTACTACACATGGATTGCTCAATCACATTTGTATTATTTATATATTATGAAGAAAGTTGTTTATCAACAATGCGCTAGCTCCTTTGTTTGTTTTATTTGGCATCTATCTATATAAAATTATATTAGCTGAGATTTTTAACAAAATGACAAATTTTTAATTCCTTCTGGTTTAAAATCTTCAACAATTCTACTTTTTTTTCTCTCTCTTGTTAGCTGTAAATTTATTCTTGTTATCTCCTTCCTTAACTGTCTCTTTCTAGAATAATAATTTGTAATTTTAGCTCAATTAGTTTACTACTCAAGGTCAGCTTATCTATCCAGCATTCACAAGTGGAGTTCTTTGCCTTCGTTTGTGGTGTTGTTGTTGTTGTTGTTGTTCTTGTTGTTTCATTTGATTTATTTCTTCCTTTGAACCTGGTACCTTTCAAAATTGTTTCATTGTCAATTGAATAATATCAAATGTCAACTGGTAAAGACCAACCAACCTTATTGAGTTGAATATATCTTCTGTTAACGAATTATTCTTAGATAATATTCATTGTTTAGTTGTCTTTTTTTTGAGTGTGTATATATATATATATTTTCACTTTATATGAGAGACATAAAGAGTTGTGCACTTGCATTTTATAATTAAAGTAAATAGTTTTCTTAACAAACAAAAAAATGCATTGTAGTTACAATACATCCTTTTTTTTTGTTTTCATGAATCATGGGATTAGTTTATAGAGTGTGAGTATATTGTTTTATAACCTTTAGACAGTTCATCCTGTTGATCTTGGTGAAAATGATTTCACATGAAGTCTTCTAGTTGAATTGTTTTTTTCTTTTTCACTGTATGATATGAAAACTTAGAAAATAAGAAGGAGGGATTCTGAATGCGTCTTGATGCACTGCGTCAATATATAGATTTTACTGTAGTCAGGTTATGTGTAAAATAAATAAATGGAATATTTTCCCCACACATTCTTTTCATTGTTTTATTGCGCAAGGTATTTATTCATATAATGTTATATCTAGACACATTAAACTAACTCTGGGCAAAATCTCACTCTAACGTTGTGGTGTTCAGGCGATCCTGGTGCTCTACTTCAAAAATCAACTTGGGCGATCAATGGAGGTCGGCCTGATCCGCGGGTCTTTCATAAAATCAGATCGAGTTTACCTTGTAATGAACAACACAGGCGAAGCGTTTAGGTGTATGTTTTGTGTTTTAGAGTCATAAGTCGATTTGATCGGTGTGTTTATAGTTGTGTATTTACAATACTGAACTGATGTAAATAAGAGCAAAAGTTCACTACAATAATTTATTACAAGTGTTTTCTTTTCAGTTTTAAAAATGCAATTTCATAAATATGTGTATATTTTATTATTATCACATGTTAATTTCGTCCCTAGACTATAGGCTAATCACGTAGTAATTAATTGATAATTAAATTAGTCCATAAAATGGTTGAAAGTTTCAATGCTAAAATAGACGCGATGGTATCTTGTTTCATTGTATTAAGACTACTCATGAAAGTCCGATCTTTGAAATTATATTTATTGGTCCAAAATAATAATGGGTCCAAATAATAATGGGGTCATTTTGTTAGTATGAATATTTCTTAATGATTACATGGACATCAAACCGTGAAAAATGTTTATTTTATTAGTTTACTTACTGTATTACTTCGTCTGTTCGTTCAGAATATTTGGACACTTGTTTAAATAGTTGGCGCCTCAAGATGTTTAAATTGACATTTTGTCTCTGTCGAAAACTATACTGATAAAATTTTCTTTTCATATCAATGATTTCTGACAGAAATACAAGATTATGAAGAAATTTTTCTTTTAATGAGAATCATTCCATTGTCAATCTATGGTAAATTTAGGTGGCTTCTCTCGGTTATAGATGTTAGTCATAATCAGGGTTGAGCCTACAACACATATATGGGTTAGCTAAAGTTATGGTAAAATTTTAACATCGCAAGACAAATTTTAAAAAATGAGTACCAAAGACCTGATATCTGACAAAAGCTTAACATAGTAATAGGGGGCTCTGCTGGCTTTTACCAATATGCGTCACTTCTGGCCTAGGTAAGATGTCCGTCTGCTAACCAAAGGACGAGTTCACTAAGCAGCAGTTCTGAAACATGGCCAGTAAGAAACGAGGTTATTCATAGGATACATGTATTCGATCATCACTGTCTTCGAAAAATTACTCGTAAATCCCGGGGGCCGCTGAGTAAGCTGTGCTGGTGTTAGGAAACGTGTACTAGGTAAGGATGGCAAGTCATTTGGTGAAGTAGTGAATCTTTATAATTTGGAGTGGTTGGGACTTGTGTTATGTATGTTGGACCACCGACTACCTCGAAGAGTGATGTTTTGCGATGTAGGGATAGACTTGGAAGAAAACTAGGGGTGGTCAAACCAAAACACGGTAGAAACCCATCAAGTCATTGACAACTGGACTGAGCTGCGCAAACTAACTGGTCGAGGTCCACGAGACAACAGTAACCGGTGGTTAAAGTCTTTGAATGACATGGCTCAAAATCGTTTGCAATTGCGCAGATACATCCATTCTATAGCTTCTCTTATTTTCCAATCTTAATTTCTTATGAGATTTTTTCTCTTTTTGGATTTATTTCACCAGGATATACTTCTTGACTGATATTTTCGATCCCTAATCTTTTTGATTACCGCTAATATTTCCACTACTTCTACTACTATGGGATCTGAATTGAAATTTCGATCACTCTCCGCTAATATGTTATGGCAACTTGAACTAATTTACGTGCCTACTAGGTTCTACATTGTAGTTGACCGACTAACTGATAATATGGTTCATAAAACCCAGTCGAAAAGCATATATAAAGGAATACTGAAATCTAAGGTCAAGCGGCAAGTAAGAAGTAAACACATCTGTTGGACTATTTTAATAGAATCTGAACTATTTTTCTTGAAATCTCGAACTGTTGATTATGGTTATCGTGTGGATCCAAACTATCAACCAACTGTATTTATGAAAATGCCTTTAATGAACTGCCAACGACTTTACTAGTTGACCAGATTTTTTTCACTTGAGCACTTATTTCTTTGTCAACTCAATAAATGTTAGTTACTTCCCTGGATCACACTGTATTGTTAGCACATAATCAGCAATGTAACAACCACTAAGTCAAACGCTCAACTTTAATTTGTTTAGTTCTTTTAGTTGTAAAACAAACCTGGTCTGAAAAATAGATTAATAGTTTTGATTATTCCTGTTTATTGTTGTCTTAAGTTTAACTATTTTAACTATTCCATGTGCCCATTCTTCAACAAGTTCAGCTAGGTTTTATACCTGACATTGGAGCAACCAGAAATCGGCGGAGTGTTAGGTGCATGTGATTGGACAACAAATGGCTTACATTTCCTAAAGATGAAACATACACCGCTGATAAATTAATTTTCTAAAATATATATACACATTTGCATTCGTCGATTAATTTCCTTTCTCACTCACTGAGTTGGACTGGTGTATAGAAAAGTTACATATCAGCGTTTAACTTGAACACCACTTCAGAACAATATCATCGGATCAATTTAGCTAACTGCAATTATTTCTGAAATACAGGAGAAAAGATGCACTTCACTCATATTATTCTATTTCTCCAATTATCTTTCTGGACAAACTGACATCCTTTTAATATTATCATTTTTAACTCAAGCTAATTTCTGATGATATTAATAAATATCTATGACTGTCCAATAACACTTAGTAGCTGCTAAGAACTCGCTGAATTACTTCTATTCAAACAATGCTTCTGGAAAGTTTTCAGGAAACTACATTAATCCTAGTCATCTTCTAGGACCATCTGGTTCAAGTACCAAAGATTAGAGGAGCCTAGAAATGAGCTATAAATTCATTGTCTTGAACTGTTCGAAATCTTAGTAACTGAGACCAGTAGATAATACAGGCGTTTGAAGTGAAAGTTACCGTGTTCTCGTATCGACACTGGAATATAGAGGTACATCCGGTTGACGAATCCTAAACAGGACGAAACATGAACCGTTGGGTTCCACTATAGTTGACCACTACTCTTCTTTACCAAACTATTGTAATGCAGAACTTTCCCTAACTGGTTTCTTTTTTCATTAATCTATTAATCAATGTCATGCATAAAACTGTCATCAATGTTTTAGGTATAAAATGAAGAATCAAAGCTAATAATAGATAAATCGTTCACTTCTATCATGTCAGATAAAAACTGAAATTTTTATGCCTCTAATAATATATATATATATATATTGTGAACATGTGAAGTTAAGTTATCCAGCTGATGAAAAATTGGCATTTCGTAATG